CCTCCCCCCCCCCCCCCAACTTAAAAAAAAAAAGCTGAGCAGGTACAAATTGAAAGGAAAACAATCTTCCAATAAATGTCAGAGGTGGCTCTGAAAACTGCAGCAATAGACACGGTACGCCTTTTTCTTCCTAACTTTTGTCTCCGCCACCGCATAGCGACCTGAATTCCCTTTCTAGACCGAAGGAATTCCCTCAAAGTTCCGATTTCATATCCGGATTCATCCCCCCCTCCCCCCTCCTCTTCCTTTTTTTTTTTGCGATGTCCCATGTAGGGCGAAACCGGCCCTGCTACTTCCCCGTCCCCTTGCGGGCGGCGCGGCGGTTTCAGTCCTTTTTGGGCGGCCCCCGGCCCATTTCGCCGCCCGCCCGGGGCCCGTTTTCGCACCCGTTGGCGCCGCCCGACCCCGCCGCGCGGAATATCGCCCTGCCGCGGGCCTTCCACCGCCCGCGCGGGGCGGAGGCCCCCCCCGCGGCCCTCCAAAAACGCGCCCAGCAGGCCCTTTTACGCCAGCTCCAGCAGGAGGTGTTGTGGGAAGGGGCGGTGCTCGACCAGCCCGAGCACCACCTTATTCGGCACTTTCTTAAGCTTCACGGCCTCCCCCGCTACCGCCAGGCCCGCGGGATGATGGTGGTCGGGGGAAAGGAGATGCTCCGCGAGCTCTGCGGCCGCGGCTTCGCCCCCCGGCATCTTCTTTTAACCGCCGGGAAGCCGCTGCCGGAGTGGGCGGCGCGGCTTCGCGAGACGGCCGTCGTTCGCGTGGCGCCGTCCCTGGCCTCGACGTGCGCGCCGGGGAATGATGGGTACCTCGGCGATTTTGACATCCCGCCCCCTCCGTTGAAGGAGCGTTTGATTGCGAACCCACATCGCCTGCGGCGGGTTCTGGTCTTGGACAACGTGGACGATCCTGGGGTGTTGGGGGCCGTCTTGCGAACCGCCGTGGGCTTTCAGTACGACGCCGTGATCGCGACCAATCATTGTGCGGATTTGTACGACCACCGGGTGGTCCGCGCCGCGCGGGGGGTTCACTTCCAGGACGGCGTCCCCCTTTACACCCTGCAGGAGGAGGACGGCGATGATGTTTATGGCATGCTGAACCACGTCATCGAGCGCAATAACCTCCTGCCGCTGGCTTTTTCGCCCCAGGAGGACCACCCCAGCGGGTTGAATCCTGCGGGGCAGGGGGTCTTCGTGTCGAGCGTTGTCGGGGCCGCGCCGGTGGCGATCCCGGCCCGGGGAATTTCCCCCCCGATCGACCACGCCCCTCCCAGGGAGTCCTTGTCGGCCTTCGCGCTCAACCGGTTTGCCCGCCACGCGGACGGGAAGGATCGGGGCTATCTCCTCATTGCCGGCCCCAACCACACGCGGAATCTCATGCAACGGCTCGCCCGACGCGTCGGGCGGCCCACGACGCAATTACTCCTCGATAGTATGCCGCCCTCGCCGGATCTCCTGCTCTCCCTTTCCATTGTTTTGCATGAATTACGGCCGAATGGTCATTGGGATTACATGCCCGTCGATGAAAAGCACGAGGCGTCTTCGATGGCGCTGCAAACCCGCCGGGCCTCGGTGGAGATCGGGCCTAACCGGCTTTCGCTCGATGCACGAAGCCTCAGCCTTGACGAACGCGCGCAAATCCAACTGGCGGACACGCGCAACGCGTTTAAAAAATGGCAACGCCTCCACAAAAGAAAGAAGGGCGACTATGAGATGTGGATGGATGCCGAAACCGCCCGTGTGCAGGCCCTTCAGCAGAATGAAATGGAAAGCCGTCTATTTCCCTTTGATTCGCGCCGTCATCGTAAGACGGGCTTGCGTGGGGCGAAAGGCATGCCAGGCTGGGTGCCGAATATCGTGGATGAGTACCGAATGCCTTTGGATCGCGATCGTTTAAGGAAGGAGCGCGAATGGGCGGAAACCTTTACACGGCCTCCTAATTATTTTAAGAAGGAAGCCAAACATCCACCTACCTCGACGACCTAAAAGTGTTCAAGGTGGATCGCAGTATTTGAGCGGTATATGATCCTCCATTTTGTGATTTGCTTCTGATTGGTGGTTTGCCAATTGAGTGTATCCACCGAGTTTGAACAACAATTCTTTTTTTTTAAGAACAGAGCGTTGCCACTTTAGTCGGTTAAGGCCATTGTTGTTCTCTTTCGCACATATGAAAGGTAACTTCTTCCCTCTCTCTTTTTATCGATTTTACATGGTAAAAGTATTAGCCAATTATTTAAAATAGTGGAATCTGAGCAAAAAAAAGAATGCTTTATTCCATATACATCTATAATAGATATGGGGATATTATATTTTTCAAAGAATGGAATCGCACACGCAGCCAAAAAGATGGGGAGGCGGGCTTAGTCGCAGGGTTTATCTACACCCTTCAGCACATTTCTTCTCAGTTATCTAAAACTGGAAATGGGGGATTGCGGGCGGTTGAAACGCCCTTGTATAAGCTACACTATTATGAAACTCTTACAGGCTACCGTCTCGCACTTTTAACAAAGAAGGAGGTAAATACCGCACTTGTTCAGAGTGTCCTGGCGGAGCTTTTTCGCGAAGTTTTCTCGAACCTTGTAACCCGGAACCCGTTCTATCGACATGAGCAGGGATGCCTAATTACTGGACCGGAATTTGAGGAAAATCTAGATGGACTCTTTAGAAAGAATAAGCTTCTTTGAGCAAAAGGTTAGGCAGGTTGCGATTTTCAGCATTTAGAGCTTACCATTGTATTTTCTTTCTTTGGTATCATTTATGTTGCGCTATTATTTCTTTTATTTGGTTCGTTGCTGCGATTATATTTCTTATCATTGAGTAACACTAACAACAACAACAACAGGGGGAAAAAAAAGGGTAACACCTATTGCTACCCCTTTTTCTGAAATTATGCCAAAGTGTTTTTTGGCGTTAATCTTTGGTAATTTATGGATCGCCGTTCGGTTAATATCCCTTATAGCGATAGATCTATATGGATATCGATGACCTGGAATGTGTTTTTTTATCCCTTTTCGGCCCTTCCTATCCCCTTTTTCGACCCCCCCCCCCACAAGGACCCACCCCATTCACCACCCCTGCATGTCCTTCCGTGATAGCTACGGCCAGCGAATCGTCCCCACCCACTGCCTCCGGCGCCACCCCCACGGCGGGGTGTTTCACGCCCTTCTGTACACGACTTCCCCCCCGTCTTCGACGCCGGTGATGGTGGGGGTGGTGGGGCTGAACTCGCTTTGCCCATCGCTCGATCCCGACGGCGGCTTTTCCGTCCTGGCGGAGGCCACTTTCTTGCGGACCCTCGCCCACCCGAACCTCGCGCGGATTCGCGACGTCGTTCTCCACGACGGCGCCGCCCGGCCCTTCGGCCCCGACGACGCCTTCCCCGCCCCTCCTTTTCTTTGCGTCGTGGAGGATGCGATGCGGGGCTGCAGCGTGGGGGAGTATTTGGCCCAGGCCCGCCGCGATCCCGCCCTGCCGGGGCTGCCGGCGGCGGCGATTGTGGCCCTCACGGCGGACGTCCTGGCGGGGCTGGCGTACCTCCACCGCCGGGGCATCCCGCACGGCGGCGTCGGGCTTGCGGGGGTCCTCCTCGACGCCGACGCCGACGCCGCGCGGCTGAGCGGCCTCGGCC